TCACTGAAGTCAAAAATTACAATAAAATTGCCGATCGATAATGATCTTTTGCTCTTTAAAAAAAAAAAAAAAAAAAATATCAAGATTATATAAATATCTTAATACAATAAAATTCAATTACTATTATATTATATTATAAAATAATTTATTTTATTATAATACAAAAAATTTAATTAAAATTCTTATAATTATATATAAAATTATTTAAAAACAAAATATTAAAAATATTAAAAATATTAAACTTTTTTACTGGATTGGCAAAGGAATCAGCGGAAAGAGTTTTTTTTTTTTCTTTTTTAATAAAATAAACCTTTATATTTATATAGTTAAGAATATAAAAATAAGTTATTTAATAAAGTTTTTAAATATATTATTAAAATATTATTAAATTAATTAAAAATTTTTTAAAAAATATAAATAATTTTAATCATATAACTCTTTTTACTGATCCCCTTACCAATCCAAAAAACAGATATTTTCAAAAATATTTTTTATTTTTAATAATAAAGTCTATATACTTTTCTTAAAAACATTACTTCTTGAAGGCAGGTGTCTCCCTTACTTGTTTATCCTTTCTTCTTTAAAAAAAAAAAATTAATAATTTATATTAATTTAAAAAACATATATTAATATTAGATCTTTAAAATATTTAATAAAAACTCTTTTCGCTAATCCTCTTGCCAACCCAAAAACAGATATTCTCAAAAATAATTTTTTATTTTTGATAATAAAATTTATATACTTTCTTTAAAAACATCACTATTTGAAGACTGGTGTCTCCTCCACTTGTTTACCCTTTCTTCTTTAAAAAACTTTGGATATTTTAATAACAAAATATACAAAATTTTACCCATTTGATTTATGGCAAGAACACCTTACTGGGAAGAAGAAACTTGTAGAAAAATACTCTCTACTACTCTTTCCTTAGGTCAGGAATTTTAAAAAATGAATTACTAGTGAATATATTTCCCAAGCCAAAAATCCATAAGAACCTTGAGTCCATTATAAAATATCTTTTGTCCAGGATGGGTGAATAAACTAGTTGGGCTGACCAGTAAATATATCCCCAAGAAATATGGGAACCATGGATCCACCGTAAGCTTCTTTGGTCCAAGCAAGTGGATAAGCTAAAAGAATCCAGGTATATGAACCTTTACTATTATTCATATATATCTAGTAGTTTGATATTTTTGATTGTATTCAATTTTTCTTAGTTTTTCTGAGGAATTTTGCCTACTTCAGTTTGACCTTGAATTTTTTGTTACACTGGAATTATCGGTTGGTGATTGGTTGATTGACATGTAAAAGAAATATAAACAAGATATATAGCCATATGTAACTTATGTTATATTATAGTATAACCGATAATGCAATTGGATAATAGTAAAAGAGCAAGGTATCAAGGTATTCTCTTGATAAGAAATGGTTTGAAGTCTTCCCTCTTCTCTCTTGTGCTGGTTTCTTTTCTTTTCAAAATCAAAAAAAGTTCTCATTAAACTGGTGATTGGTGTTAATGGGTTTTTATTTTACCAGTATAAACTCTTCTCCTTTTCCCTTTATCTTCTTTCTTTTTTCTTCTCAAAAAAATAAAAATTTTTTTGTCTTAGGATTACAAAGGTTAAACTGGAATAATAATTTTGATGAAGGGCTAGCTTTGAAATTTTAGAATAACAAGGAACATTTTTCTTTAATTGAGCAATTTGTTTATCTTCCTTAATCATATTTAGAGACTATTGGTTGTTAACAAGTGTGTCATATAAGTGAATAAGTTTAACTGGTAGTATAAGATTGATTACATATATCCTGCAACAGTTGTACTATGATAAATCAATCTCAGATTGAAATTAATAAAACTTGAATATATGACCTAATTAGGTGAAAAAAAAAAAAATCAATATTAGATCTTTAATAATTTTATAGTTAAAAATATAAAATAAAAAGTTATTTATATAATTATTAATATTCAAGTTTATTTTTTATTTTTTTAAAAATCTTTTTATATTCTTATCAAATTGCATAATATAGCATATTAAAAAAAAATATTTTTAACTATTAAAGCCAATTCTTTTAACTTGTTTATTTATTGTTACTTGTTCTTTATTGATTTATATACGTATTACAAAGACTCTTGTATTTTTTTTGTCATATTTTACCAAATGGGCCTCATGCAATATGTCTGGCACTTGGCACTTGGTCAACCAATAAGTCATACCGAGGAAACTAGAGTAGAAGCCACGAATGCAACTGAACACGATGAGAGTAACGAATCAGCTGAGCGCGTTTCTGATCTGATATTTGATCCGAATAGAGGTCAAAACGACGGGACGTTGTTAAACGCTCAGAATCAAATCTTACAGACAATTGCCAACTACAAACA